AAATAAACATTTTCTAACTAAATTCTACTAACATACAATAATAATTAAATTATTATCAAACATACAGTCAATAATTCAACATTCAATATAATGTTTTTGCATACTAGAAGCTAAACTTTTTAAAAGGCTGATACTTTCATTTTAGTAAATATACTTCCATGACTGGTAGTAGAGCATGGGGCCTAAACTCTTGCTCTAAACCTCTGCTATCTTCTAAGAGAAATTATTTTAATCTTATTTTCTGTAAAGACACAAAGCTCAGGTGAGTTTATCTTCTCTCACAGGTTTCCTGTTGCTCACCACTTGTCTGTTTCCCACTCCTGACTACGGCAGCCCAGGGTTTATGGGGATGAGCACAAAGGGTGCCCTGCAGCATGGCTGCAGAAGCTGGGTGGAGCCTTCCAGTTGAAGAGATGAAGTTGCAAGCCCTGTGGCAAGCAAGCTTCCTATGAAAAGATTGCATAGAGCTCTGTCCAGACAGTGTGAATATTAATTTCTTGCTATTTGTTACATGTATAATCAAGCAATCACAGAATCATAGAAAGATTTGGGTTGGATAGGACCTTAAACACCTTCTCGTTCCAGTCCCCCTGCCACGGGCAGGGATTAGGTTTCCCATGGCCTCATCCATCATGGCCCTGGTATTTCTGCTAGACTTTGTCTGATGTCACCCCTTCAGCCTCTGATGTCCAACATGTCAGCAAAGTGATGTTTGACTGCACTCAGAAATAGTGGGGATTATGCGTCTAAGGGAGGATGTAACCCATTTTCTCCAGAGAAGTTTTATATGTACTCCATTATTTAGGGTCACAATTAGAGTGTTATTTGTGTACTTCGATGGCTGAATTTTAAAATTTCTACATGTGAGGCAAAACAGAACAGTAGCTTCAAAACGGTAATGTCTTTTAAATCTATTTTGCTAGATTTAAAATTAAATTGGACTGTCGTGGCAAACAGTGTAGACTCTGTAATACTGGTCACAGTGCTTCATTTACTACCAGAGAGATGAGCTCTTGGGATTTTCAAATGTGTGGACATAATTCCAGTGCCATTATACCACTGATTTTCAAATTAAATTGGTGAGCTTTTCTAAAGCCTTTTTGTGCTGGTATAAATGCCCTGATAACTAAATGTAACAGAAATATGGTTTCATGTTTTTCTTTCTATAGTTTATAATTTATCCCTGGTAATCCTGCTTATGGCCCAGAAGTCCCTTTGATATGAAACAATGTTCAGCCATGGAGGAGAGATCTGGTGGTATGAACCAATGTTTTGTATGATTTTCTATGTTTGAAATATGAAGAACATTATGACTTCACTCTGGTAGAAGTTTAGGAGGGATTTCAGTGGCCTTCGCTAGTGGATGCTTATGTTGTAAATACCTCAGGCATCAGAGACGTAAAACACATTTTTATTGAAAGCCTGCTTTCCTCAAAAGTGGGAAATCTGAGGCTACATTCAGAGGTATGTATATATTTTTTCTTTTATTTTTTTTTAATTCTTTTTTTTAATATATATATATATATATATTAATATATACTAATGTTTGGACTCTGTTCCAAATAACATAGATGACATTTCTTGTGTAGATGACATTTCCATTTTGCATCTGTACATGAAAAATTAATTTGTATAATCTTTCCTCAAAAGCACATAAATTTGATAAATGTGGCTTCCTCTCCAGAATTTTATTGAAGTTATTCATCTATCCTACACTGCATTTCTTAAGCATTTCTGGAGATATGACGGGTGCATCAGACAAATATTGATTTTCTGTGGTACAGTTGGTACCAGACAAGAGAAGTGATAGAGATGGGCAGCACAACTTGCTATTGCCTTGCACAACAGAGTGGAGAGCCACCACTGATAATGTTTGTACAATGCTTACTTGGTGCTTCATGGGTGGAAATGTCATATTTGCAATGAGGACAGAACCTGGGGTGGGGGAAAGATCCATTTCTATCTGCCCCTACATGTGTGACTGGATTTCCAATATTTACTGTCTAACCAGATGTCCTTATTCTGCAAATTAGAGTGATCAGAAGTTTTTAATTATTACAGGGTGCTCAAGATTCTTCTGACTGGCAGAGTCTTCCTTCTGCTTCTGGCTCAGCCTCTGTAGTGGCAAGCTTTCCAGGGGGACAAAACAATTGTTACTTCTTTTCCACTCCCCCACCTCTGGTCACTGAGGACTGCTGGGTTTTGTGCTTATAGTTTGGCTCCTCTGACAACTTTCAATAAGAGCTGGAGCTAAACAGTGGAGTTCCAGACTGCAGTTTGATGGTGAGGATGGAGATGCCTGGCTTGTTAATGAGGATTTTCCCCTCTTCACAGACATTTGAGTGATCCCAACCAGCTACCATAGGGGGAGCATCCAATTTTTTTTTTTTTTTTCTGGTGTCAGAGTTTTATTAGCTTTGCTTATAGAAATATAGCAAAACAGAAAAGGCCACACTGGCTTTTCTCTGTAAATATTTAAGTATAGACTGTGTGGACACATGGCAGGTATAAACCAGATTGAAGTGATCTCCAGGTTGGTAATGGTTTGCTAATCTAACCCAAGTGTTACTGAACGTGGTTCATGGTGCCTTTGAATTTATGTGTAGTCATGGCATGCTGACTCTTTCATTGCACTATTTTCTTACACTGTAAAATAAATTCACACTTGGCATAACAGAAGTACTTGGCAGGAATGCTTTTATATTCACAGTACATGAGACAATGACTAATACCTTGTTTAATTGTCTCACAGCATTAGCAAGGAAGCTGAATCCTATGCACTCTCTCCAACCACACACACACAGAGGGGCAGACTAGCTCAGCCTGCTACACTTCACTGTCTTTTCCCCACTACCTACAGCTGGCCCCTTACAGAGCTATTAAACAAGATTTTCTGATTTTTTTTTTCCCTCTCTCATTCTCTTGAGCTTTTTGCCAGTGTGCCCCTCTCTGACTTTTGAATTTCTTTTGCATGTAGCATTATGCTCCCTTCACTGAGATCGTATCAAGTTCTCTGCTGTGTAAATTGGCATATCTATGCAGCACTTGGAGGCTCTCTGCCAGTTTACACTGAGACTCTACCCCTAAACAATTATACTCAGCAGTACCAAAAAAACACTTATATAAACAGAAAATGTAGGAGAACATTTGGGCCAAAATCCCATTTCCTTCAGATGCTTAAATTGGAGAAATTACTAGGAAACAAGGACATAGAAAGGAAGCTGAGGGGAGAACTCAGGGCACAGTCAGCCTGTTCCCTCAGTAATCAGCATAAGAAATAACAATATAAATCCCTTGCTGTCAGTTCCATCAGCAAGAAATAAACAGGAATGAGTAAGTCAGATGGTACTTAAAATAAAAGTATTATCTCTGAGTTTTTCTCTATTTCTCAACTTGGTTGTAAATCCTATAACCCTGCAGATACTGTTCTTGACAGAAAGGTAAACACTGATATGAGCATTTTGCCATTATTCTGCAAAAAAAAAGGGACAAAAATGTCAGCAACTGCATTATTGTGCAGCTAGCACAACATTCTTGAAGATGGTGAACCAGAATAGAAGAAGCCATGAAACAGATCTGTGTGTGAATCCATTAAATGGAGGTTATGACATCTGACCTTTTGTCTGAATGTCCTGGATTTGCTGGTTTGCAAAGCCCTGGTTATCGAGGACATGATGCAGAACAGCTCTGCTTTTCTGATCACTAGCCAAATTCTGCTCATCTCAGTCAGGCAAATTGCCCTCCTAACTTCAGCAGCTATATCAGTGTGGTTATTGTGGGAAAGCTTTGCTTTCAGCACTAACTGGGTCCTGAGCAAAATTTGACTTTTGTAGTCAGGGAACAGGAAATGGTTCTGCGCAAATATTTACCAGTGCTAGTAACTATGAATTTCACATTTACAATTACACTGATGTCTGCCTGGGGCACAGTGAATCATGCCTTTTCCTAACAGAATTATTTATCCTATAAATATTTGTTGTAAAAGAATGGCACACTATGCAAGGCAACAAAAAAATGTAATTTCATTACTTTAATTAGGAGAAGTTCTCCAATTGACTTTAGACCTTGATAATCCTATAAGAACTATCAGAAATCCTCTTACCCACTTTACACTATGTCTGTTTGGTAATGTTTAAATAAAGCTGTAATTCAGAGAAATGCTTCCCCTTGTTAAAGTGTCAATAAAGTCTTTATTGTTTAACAAAACTTCTGGTAGAATGTCTTGTGCTTCATTTGCAACTATTTTCTATCCAAAAAAAAAAAAAAACCAAAAAAAAAACAGAAAAAAAGGTCCTGGCTCTCTTACATTTTCCTTTTTTTTCTATAATATTCTGCATAAATCTAAATTGTACCTGGTGGCAAATTTTTGTGTGTGCCTGTGTACATCTGCACACTGCAGATCAAGCCATCATACCACAGCCAGGTTCTTCTTAAGGATATGACCTTGAGTTTACCCTATCTTTACCTTTTGCTGTTGCTTATGGATTTTTTCTCTTTAATCTTCAGTCTAGTTATTCATTTCCAGTTTTGTGGCCATCCCGAGGTACAAAGACACCAGAATATATACTTTCATTCAGGCTTCATTTTTATTCAGACTTATTTTCTAATGAAGAAAAGCCACACAATCAAGATAGCAGTGACAGAAGAATGATAATCTATGTGATCCAATAGACAGCAAATTGAGAGAGAACTGAATTTGCCTATCTCTAAATGTATATTCTCCCATCCAAAAATAGCTGTGAGTTAATAAATCACACTTACAGATGTCTTTGTTATCTTGTAGTGAAAATAATCAGAACTGTATTGCAATTTTGATACAATTCCTTCTAGAAATTGAATTATGCACTTGGACTCTCTGATTTCCTTATCTCTGTCAAAGAGATAAAGCTGTCACTAGTTTGGCTCTGCAGTCCCAGTACCTGCCAGGCTGAGAAGTGGGAGGAATGCCAAACCATGGGTTTTGCAGCAGCCAAGATGCACCAAGAGAGCTGATGCTTTCCTGTGAGCACTCCTTTGGAAAAGACAAAGTCCTTCCTCCAGTGTGTGGAGTCTGAAAGCAATCTGGACCTCTGCAGATGTGAAAAGTGAAGAGGAAAATGACTCATTCAGATCTGGACCTCAGTGAAAGGTAATAACAGCATATACACGAGCTGGGGTTTGAAATCAGGTGGATATAGATGAGTGTCACCTGTCATGAGTGAGACTCTCTTATGTGAAAATGATACACTGGCGAAATCAGCTGAATAAAGGAATTTAAGACAAAATAATGAAGTTACAGCTTCAGGTCAATTGTATACAGGCAAGCAGCCACCTCAGGAAGGGACTGTGTTGCCATGAGGTCAAATACATTAGCCCTGTGCAAAAGGTAGCAGAATTACTGGACATTTCTTTGCTCATGAAATAATCCTACAACTTCATTTTCTCATGGGATAGTTTGGCTTCCTAAAGCAATCAATTTTAATGTCTAAATGTAAGAGTAACTTTTCAATTCCTTATCTTACCCCACATTTTCATATTACTTATTTATGTGCTTTACTTATTTTTAAAATTTTTAGTCTGGAATGAATTTCAGAAGAAAGCATTTTTTCTAAGTTTTGTACTTTATTTGGTTTCCTATTTCTGACTAGCTGTATGGATGAAGGTCTATGAAAGCAGTTCTGATGATATGCATGAGAAATTTAGGAAAATTAAAAATTTAGGCTTGTAGTTAAACTGAGGCAACAAACACACAGAGTATTAAGGTGAATATTACATGGTCAAAACTCTGAGACACATGCACTGAGCTTAATCTGAGAAAGTGTGGTTGTAACTAGTTGTGATTTTCCTAAGCCAATATAATAAAAATACAACGGCTGAAGTTTATGGATGCAGGTACATCTTGCAGGGAAAGTCATCTCCAAGCTGTTAGCTTTCCACAGCCAGAATTTTCCTGAAACCCCCAGGAGAGGTCTGCCTGACCTGACTGATCAACAGCGCTGGCACCTCGACTTGTATTGGCACAGATACTGAAGAAAGTAGTAAAGGAGATGAGAATATCAAGAAGAAGAAGGAAAAGACTATTGAAGAAATAAAATCAGTATTTTGCATGAAATTCTATTGGTTGCACAGCTTTTCTATATCCACGAGGGAGATGTAAAAAGCAGATATACAATTCATGACTGACAGTGCTTTCATTAATAATGCAAATGGATAAGCTATGAGGAAAATATCTGTGAGGCCTTCAGGCAAAACAGTAACAAGTATCAAGTCGGTGCTTTTTATTTATTAAAATAAAATATATTAAATCTCCCTTCCTGCTGTGTTTCTTGCCTGCAGGATGGAGTGTGATGAAGGAGTCCTTTGGAACACAGGTTCATTTATGCAGCCCTGGTCTGTGTGAGTCAGACAAGTGAGAGACTTACAGCAAAACAAGATCTCCAGGTACGTATGGTTTTGGGAATTTTCTATTCTACTTGGTTAGAATTAGTATCAAACAAATAAGAAAGCTATGGAGAACCATTGAGCAGTTCCTGATCTGCTTTCCAAGAGGTAAATTCCTTCCTCTCTGGTAAGTCTTGAATCAATACAAATTTTTAATTGTTTTATGTCATGTTATGAAAAAATTAATCTGTTCTTATATAAATAAGGTCAAAAATACGGTTTCAGGTTCTGAATGCTCACCTTTTTTTTTTGTTTTCCTTATATTTTGTTCATGGGAAGAGTAATGTAGCCTTCTAGACTACCAGTAATCTGTCATGATAATTAACATGTCATACATATTCATTTAATAAGCAGTACCTCTATTTTAACTTATTTTTTGTTATGAAAGAGAAAGGAAATATTCCTGGGCTTGCTTTCTTGTCTGGCATACATGCTAGGGAAGAAATGGTCTGGTTTTCAATTTTCTCTCTGTTTCTTTAAGGGGCAAACGTAAATGCATGTCCAAAACACTTTACTGCTTGTAAAGTCCTTCTGTATTTTAATGCACCTCAGTATGACAAAATAAGAGGATATCTTTAAGTTTAGTAAGTCTCCTTTTCCTGTGTACTTTAATTTATTTTTCAGGCTTTTCAAAGTGACTGTGTGGCGCTCTATACATTGTGAAAAAAAAACCCTCTAGAAATGCTAGTCATGTCTCAAGTGAGAATAATTGGCCCTGACAGAGAGGAAAGTAGTAATTGGAATGAGAGTTGTTTAAATAACAGTTTAAATTTTCTTTCCTTACTTTCCCGATTATATGCACTATAAAGCAGGATTTCTTTGCCTTAGGTGTTTCACAGAGTCGTTTCTGTATGCAGCATGTCCACAAGTATAACTCAAGTAATAAGCCTGGCTATAATTTGGACTAGACTTTGAGTTTAGCTCCCTTACATACAAATACACTATTCAATTGGTATTAACACTCTATCATCAAAATATTCAGTAGGCTGTAGCAGGACAGGCTAATTGCATCCTCTAATTCTTCTAAGTTATCATTATTTCTTCATTCTGAATGGTTAAATGGAAATTCAGATGCAACATGGAGGAAAAACATGCTTACAAACTTGAGCTATGAATATACTTCATGTTCTGCTAAACACTCTCCTCACTGTTAATATCTAAGGAAGAGTAAAGTAACTGTCTTTTAGCCTTTCCTCTATGTGATTTCTGTTTTGGTTTGTTTTGGTTTTTCAACATAGGTTTGCTCAGAGCTCTGCAGAGCGGGTGTTTTAAAAAGCTTTGGAGTATGTCAAGTTTTAGTACAGTAACATGACTGAGATTATTTTCCTATTGAGCACATCTGTCTCCAGCAGCCCCCATCTAAATAGTAGTGAGGGTCTGTGTGGTCACATCTGCCCTACTTCAAAATATTTATGGCAAATATAAATCAAGGCAGGGATGGACTTGAGAACCTGGAAGGATCAAGTGGCATCTGCAATGGAACAAATGAAATCTAAATGTGTTTTAATTTGCAGAATAATATGTGAAGAATATTGAACGAGCTTGGTAATTCCCTACTGCAGCTTTAATGGACACAGCCAGAATGCATTAGGCCTGTTAATTTCAGGGATCACTTGTCTTTCCAACAACCTTTGATGTTTGTTTCCTGACCTTTATCTAAAACATTTAAAGTGTCTTAGATGAGTTGAGTTCGGTATTTGTTTTACCCTTCTACTCCTTTTTTCCTTTTTTGTGTGTTTGTTTTTTTTAACTTTTTTTTGTTGCTGGTGTGTTGGTTGTTTTTTCTAAAAAGGAAACAAACTCATAGGTGAAATTTGACTTCATTAATGTGAGTGATAAACTTCTACTGAATTCCATACCGAAGAATTTAACTCTTCTCAAGCAGTGGCTTGTCCACTTTTGAATAGTGGTCTAAACTGTCTGAAATTCAGGATTCAGAATAATTTGAATTATTAATGCTGTTTGAGCTGTAAAAACAAAAATTATAATCGTGTATAATAGTTTATAATTCATGAGACCATTTTCTGTTGCATCCATTTGAGTAAAAAAATCTGGACTCTTAGCAGATTTGTCTGCATGAAAAATAAACTACCCAGGAGTTTAATAATGCAGAGATAAAAAGATAAGATCAGTTTCTTCAGCTCATCAATATTTACACATTTCCCTGTATAGCTTTTATAATATAGATATTGTGACATCAGGTCCAGGTGTTTTCCACCTGAATTTTTTAAGTGTTTGCAAATATATTCATTATTATTTTAATAGTGAGCTACATAAAAATATTTATATGCGGAAATTGTTAAACTCTGTTTGCACTTAACAATTCTGAATAATATTGAAACTAACAATAGGCAGAATGTAAAGATTTTGTGGAAATTTCTGACTTCAGTAGCAAAATGAAAATTTTAAAAATTTTTCAAAAAAAATTTTAAAACCTTTTCAGTTTCATTTTAATTTCTCTTCAGGTATATCAGTGAAATGCCTTACAAGAGATTTAATTCAGATGCTGGTATATTTTTCTCTCTGACGAATCAGGCCTCTCCTGCTGAATGTCCATGAGACACCAATGGCTTTTGGTACTTGCACATTCTGTGCCTGCATCCTCATCCAGTGCAAGACAAGCACAAGAAGCACTCTGACTATATTTGCTGTGAGCTTCAGCCTCTCAAGAACATCACGATACTGTTTGTGTAAGAACTGGCAGTAGTTTTAAGTAAATTTGAAAGCCAAAGAGCTTTCATGCACAAGGACAAAATTGGGGTTTCATCAGACTGATTCTAGTCTGGCTTCAATATGCCCGGCCCTTCAGTATTGCAGATCAAGAGTTCAAGTATAAAATGACACTATGTTTTAAATAGGTAGTTTCAGTGTAAGCAGCAGCTGTAAGTGCAAAAAGCAATGATATTGCCATCACACCCCTAACAGTCAAAACTGTTTGGAAATCTCATTTGTTTTTCATTAGTTACCGCAACAGTTTGAATAAAATCCTGTTCAATCTCAGAAAAGAGTACTTTGGAAATGTTAGTCTGTTATTCTTTAAACAAAGTTCAGCAGCTATTAACAGAGTACTTGTTTATGATCTTCTATAAATATTATGTTTCTGTACTTCTTTGAAAATGTGGACTTTTTAATTTCATTTTTATTTTAGTAAAAACTGTAAAATTATGACTCACCAGCTGCAGAGTGCCAAGACAGGATATTTCCCAATATATGGGGCAAACAACATTTTTATGTATTTTTGTTACCAATCATATAAAACCCAGCTTATTTTTATAAATGGCTTCATAGGCCTACACCATAAAAGTTGCGTATAATTTTATCCCAGTTTTCAGGGGTTTGGTGCCCATTACCTAGGAAATGTAAACTCTCACGTTCCTGAGCAAAGTCGACATTGCAGTGATCAACAAAACCCACTCATTTTCATGCAGAAGTGGCCACCTTTCTTCTACTCAGCCAAGATCTCACAACCCAGACAGAAAGTTGAACTGGACAAAAAAAAAGGAGCAATGCTGCTATGAAGTTGCAGTACAACAGCTTAAAAGGAAATTGCAAAATTAGCAAGGGGTGAGTGGCGATATTTTTTCCTAATTCCTGAATGCTTGTGGCATAGCCACACTGATATCACCACTTACCTGCAAGCCATCTAGAAAAAGTCATAACTTGAATTAATGAAGGGAGCAAGCTTCCATTACATTACGATGGCTATAAAGCCTGCTGCAATAATACCTAAGTGGTTTTACCTCCAGAGCACTGAATGTGCCTGACCAAAAGGACTTCTATTGAGCTATTTGTATAATTAACATGGAGACGTTAGTGAGTAGTTTAATTCCCAGATGTATATTTTATAATAGCTTAACCTTCTCCCTTATGGCTGCTGCTATTAAAAGCAGTAGATTTAAGTCTTAAATCCAAATTGATTGAGTTGTGGTACTGCTTTTACTTGTATCTAAACCTTTCAGTGGCTTTTCTCAAAACTGAGTTTAGGTTTAGGACATACTAATGGATTCTAGTTTCACATAACACCTTTCTTTTTATCACTTCTTGAATTGTTTTATTTTTAAACCAGGGCTAGATCCATGCCTGTTAATTGGAAAAAAACCCCAAACAAACCCTCATGTAAGATTTTGTCTCAAAGAACAAGGAATCAGTTTGAAGTTTGAAGTTATGTTTTTTCTTTCCAAGTGGTTGCAAGGCATAATATGAAAACCCCAAATCTAACCTGAGTAGAAGGCAAATTAAATAACTAGGAAGTTTTTTCTTAAAGGCTAAGAGCCTGAGGAATAAACAGGAAAAACTGTAAGAGTGGTAAACAAACTCAGAGGAGAGGAGGTTAAGTAACTAAGCAAAGCGTGAATGTGCGATTTATGTTGGGGGAAAGAAAAGAGGCTTATTTTAAAAGCTGATTGACTTTTTATTATCTGTTGTAGGAAAATCGTTCCATGGGTCTGAAGAGGAGGCATTTATGAAAAAAGACACTTTCAAATACAGTCAGATGTGCAACAACTCCCACATGCAGAAGAGGAATTCATCTTCAGCAGGCAATTAACAGGGGCCAATAAGTTGCAAAGAGTGATTTAGAAATTTGGCTTGGGGCTTAGCCAAAGGGAATCAAGTTATGGGAAGGTAGGATGACTGCTAAAGACTTAAGGTTTTTAAGAGCCAGTATCTGATCAAAGGAACATAAGGACTGGGAAAATGTCAGGATCTTGGATAGTCTTAGTAAAACAAAGGAGAGTGGATTAGTCTTGAAGACCCTTGACACTAAGTCACAAAAGTTTATGAAAGGAGGGACTAAGATCAACATTACTTGCGACCTCTGTCTGCTGTTCCTTAGCTTTGCACCTCCATAAGGAGCCTGGCTCCTTCTCCCTGGTGGTATTTTGGGTACTGTGTGCTGCTCTTGGGTCCCCCTGGCTGAACAAGCCCAACTCTCAGGTCAAGTGCTCCTGCTCCAGTGCCCTCCCATCGTGGATGTCTTTTCCTGAGCACATCCTGGGGATTCCTTTCTTATATTGAACCATTACTGAAATCAACACTGGGGCTCAACCTGATGAGCACTGACTGAACAGGGATAATCCTTTTGCTCACCGTGGTCCTGCTGATAAATTCCTGTATATTTTTGGCATTCCTGCTCTTGTACATCTGCTGCCTTCCAGGACTCCCAGTTGTTTTTTTTAGCAGGACTGCTCCCCAGCCAGTCAAACCTCAGCCTGTCCTGGTGCAGGGGTGCCAGTCCCACTCACATGCAGAATGTTGTGTTTGTCCTGGCTGAATTTTATGAAGTTCTTGTCCAGAAGCCATTCCCCTACCCTGGCTGGGTCCCTCTGAGCAGCAGCACTGCCTTTGAGCATCTTGCCTGCTCATGCCTCCATCTGCTGATATCTAAGGGCACATTCAGCCTCCTCCTACTCATCAGCATTGAGATACAGTGGGGGAAAGGATAAGGCAGAGAGCACTGCATACACAGCAATTGAGAGACTGGAGTTCTTACTCTAAAGATACCTTAGATAAAATATGTTCTAAAAAGCAACTATATCCTGAAATTATCTAAAATTATGTTTGATGTGAGAAGTTTTTAAAGCTCCACATTCAGTTGGATTGTATAGTGTGCTGGCTATGTGCTGGCTACAAGGATCAGGATAAACAAAGTTAATTTACTTCTGAGACAAAAATAGTACTGTGACATCCTTCTGGTTTGCAGGATACAGTATTCACCTAAATCTGTTAGATCTGTCATAAATTATCTTTTCAAACAGCAACGGGGTATTGCTGTATTTGGCAGCCCTTCTCCTGTGATGCTGGGATGTCATTCTCAGGCCAGGCGTGGCAGGGCCACAGGCTTTGAGAAGTACAGAAGTTATAATTCTGACTTTTTTCTTTTGCAGAGATTAAAACAAAATAGAACAAAACAAGACAGGATGTGAAAGGAATGATGTCTAGGTACAAAACCAAAATGAAATTAAAAGACCTCTTTGCAGTTCATGAGGTGACTCTTTGCAGGCTCTCAGTAATTTATGGTTATTCCACTGTACTTTATAAGATTAGTTCAATTTACAATAGGCTGCAGTGCTTGACTCTCACTCTGGATAATCTGACAGCCAGCTCTGGGACTAATCTTGGTGTGACAGCAAATTAAATGGTTCTTTTCTTTCACTGTTCTTTTTTTCCCTCCTTTTTTCCTGTTGGGTTAAGTTACAGTGCTGTCATTTTAATGGTGCTTGAGATTACTACCTAGGCACATGATGTTACTGGAGTTTTTCGACTGTTTTATATTTCCCAGCTTCACTTTATCTATTAAACACTCCTATAATCATTTTTCTTAAAAGTGAGTTTCCAAAGTAAAAATAAAATTTGAATTAGTGAGAGCATGTAAAATCTGCTTAAAATCATTTTCTGAATTCAAAAGCACATTTCTATTGAGGTAGCTTGAATTTGTTATTCAGACTTTTGAACAGCAACAGCAACAGTTGAAGTGAGGTCAGGTGAAATTCACTGTGCATTGGCAAGGAGATTCATTCCTTAGCATCACTTAGTCACATGGAATAAAGTGTTTCATTTTAATGACATTTATATCAGAACAGGTTATAACAGCTATGTCTAACCAGGTGATTGAATTCTGCTGTGTGATTCAATGCAAAACATGTCACAAAACATGGAAAATAAATGTCTCATATGTGAAACAATCAGCTAAAAACAACAGTTCATAGCTGAACCCAGACAGGAAAATTTAGCACTTGAACACAAAATTTATATATGAAGGACTAAAACTATAAGTGAATCTTTTAGGCAACATACAAGAGTTGCTCAGTGTCCATTTCAAGCATATACTGTATTAATAGTTTTCTTTCCCTCACCTTGCTTGCCACAGTCCCCAGTTCAACAGATATATTGGAATGGCTCCTGAGTCTGGTGGCTGCTGAGGCACTTTGCTCTCCACAGGTGCTGTATGAGGAAGTTTAAATATGTCTGCTTGGTGAGAGGGTGCCTGAGGCTTTGTAACAAAGCTCAGTATCCCTCCCTCTAAATCCCTGTTCTCAACTGAGTGCTTTCCCTTGCCCTTGTTTTTATAAACTACTTTTAAATCCTGCTACAAGTTATCTAGTAATAAATGCCGAATGGCCCACATATGGTAGACTTCTTGTTTTTGTTTTTCTACTTAATATTTACTGAATACTTGAGGTATGTATGGTTTAAGAGGTTTATATTGTATGTGGCATAGTTTAAGCAGTAGTGGTAGTTTCCAAGCTGTTAGAGAAAGATGTTCTGTTTGATCAAGAACATCTGTTTGTTCGCCAGCTGTGCAGCTCAGTCATCCAGAAACCCTGGTTCAACTCATCTTCCTCAGGAGAATTAAAAATGGAGAATCAGAAAGACAAAGGAGGAAGTACAATCTGCTTGGAGAAGATCCTAGACTAGAAAAAGGTTTCTAGATTCTAAGATGAGGAAAATATTGTGACCATTCTAGCTATTGCCCTACTGCTTTGTGATTGGAGGCTAAATCTCACCATAAATTGAGAAACAAGTTATTGTTTATTTTGTTATATGTTTATTTTGTGCAGGCATACTTACCCTTCTAAATAATGCCTCCGAGGTTCAAGGAAGTGACATGTTGGTGGTTCTATCTCAGACTACACAAACCAAACAATTTCCAGTGGAAAATGCATGTTCATGAATGGTGGCTGTTATTCTAACTGAGGAGCCTCTGCCTCCAATTATTTCTTCAGTTTAGTTAGAAAAGCATTTCTTTCTCAGACCTGTGAGCTGCACCCATGATAGAACAAATGCCTTAGGAACAAGTCTCTTTCCACTAGTTTGAAATGTCAAATTTTAAAAGTGGAATTCCTCCCTGAGGAGACCCTTAATCTGTGAGTTAATGGATATTCTGAGGGGGTTGTTTCTGTTCATCTATGAGCTATACATGCTTTACGCATCATTCTATTTATACCTGGGTGGTCTGAAGGAAGGTATAAAAAAATCTCATATATCCACTTGAATATTGATGTAGTGTTTAACTTTTAAGTCAAAAATTTAGTTAGGACTCCACAGCTGAAATATCAGCAGATCAGTAGTAATTATTTGCACAGCTCTATTTCTGAAGAGGCAGAGTTATGCTTGGAAATTATTTTTGGCTAAATCCTGCTCTGAGTTGACACCTGATCTATGAAACAATGAAGACCTGACTTCATAGACTTGTCAATTCAACTATTTTGTTCTTCTCAGCCTTAATTTTTGTCCTTTCTCAACAGTTTTTTATTCATTACTAGGTACATATATCTATATACATATGCATACATACATATTCAATACTATGTACATACATATGTATACATCTATACTTTGTATTGAAGATAAAAAATAATTTGCTATCCCTGTTATCTTGGATGAAAATTCACACAAGCAAGAACAACCTATTAGAAACCAGGGTATGTTTTCATTCTCTGCAGTGACATAAATGCTACCCTGTAGATATTCCATGAAGGCTTACCACAGGATGATTCTAGAAGTTCCCAGATGATATTCCACAGCAAATACTTCCCTTGAAATCAGAGAAAAATTAGAATTACATATTTATAATAATAAAATAGAAACAAAAGAAGAAACTAATTTTTCTCCTGCAGTTGCATAACTTTGTCCTTTCTATCGGAGCTTTGAACAGATTTTGAAGAAAGATGTCTTTTCACATGATCTCTTTCAACATCACACTTCATTAGAAGACCTCACAGGCCCAATTTTGTTTTAAAAATTAATCAGAATAAATGATCAGCAAAGTGCAATATTAAGATAGTGTTTAAAGCCAGGTTGGATGCAGCTTGGAGCAATCTGGTCTAGTGGGAGGTGTCACCGTCCATGGCAGGGGGTTTGGAACTAGAGGATATTTAAAGTTCCAGCACAAAACACTCTATGTTTCCATGACTAGCAATAGGAAATGTGGAACCAATAGGGAGTGCTATAAAATGGAAAGATAAAGCTGAGAGTAGATATAAAGGGGCATTGGAATAAAAATGACAGCTATAAGGAGGAATTGATTAAAGTCTACTCCATTGGTGAGGGTAAGACAAAAAAACACACTAAAATTACAGCACAGCCTTAAGAGATATATAAAGAAAAACTTGTCACTGGTAAAGACATTGAAATATTGAAAAATGTTGTGTAGGAGGTGAAACAATGGCTATTAACAGCTTTTCTAAAAGGTTAGATAAACATCTGCCAGAAAATGACACAGGTGCAATTGATATTGCTTCCTGAAAAATCTTTCAGGTCTCTTATAAGATTTCAGATATATAGTTAATATTGGCTATGTGACCTCAGCCTTTTATCAAATGAGTGTTTTGCTAAGTTATATGCTTGAATCAAGCATGAGAATAACCTCCTATGTTTAGCAGAAACTACACAAGTTTTCTTTTTCTGGTTTCAGCTGATTATCTTAGGTTTTAGAAAATAAAATTATAGATGCTGGTCATTTGTTTCTTGGAAAGTATAATTTTGGTACTGTATCAAAGGTGACTCATCAGCACACATCTTGTTTTAAAGTATTCATGCAAAACAAAGTGACCATGTAACAATCCATTTTAGGGCATGCAAAGTCATGCAAGCTGATTACAACCCTAAAATCCCTCATATTTGAATGAACTGGATTTTCCCAATATTCACAAGAGAGTGTGATTGAGAAGTATTTTGATAACACCTAAAAGGAGGAAGAAAAGGAAGATAAGAATTTTCCTATTCTACCCAGAATATTTTTTCTTATAAAGAGGGAATTTCATTTATGTAAAATACTAGAATGAAATGTTATTTTCATGGGGAAATTTCCAAGAAAGAGCAGTCCCTTAAATAGGAATACATGTGACTTCATGCATATTATTTCAGAAATATTCAGATAAATAAGAATACACATGACTTCATGCATATTATTTCAGAAATATTCAGATTTTCCAAAGTCCACATTTCAAAAATGATAGTAGTCTGAAGAGTATCTCAGTAACAAGAGCATGATGAGGTTCTGTGTTTTTTGTATTCTCATGCTTTCTCTATCGAACATGCTGAGTTTCACTTGGCAGATAGCTGTGAATTTAGCCTCAAACCAGAGAGTTAAATTTGCAGGTCTGATTCAGATACACAGAGTCAAAGAAAGGGATTTTGGCAGGTATCCAGTCCAATCTTCTGCTCAAACAGGATCAGCTCATGCTCAGGCAGACTGATCAGGGCTGTATCAGACGGGTCTTGAAAACTCCTAAAGGCGGGAACTACACAGCTTCTCTGAGAAACCTTCTCTACTACTTATCTGCAGTCCTGGAAATCTTTTTCCTTTCATCAAGTCTGAACCTGTCCTCTTTCAGTTTATGACCTCTGGTTATTCCCCAGGCAGCTCCATCTCCTTGAAACCTCCCTGTGGGCACTGTAGGGGCTGCTGTTGGGAATCCCGGATATTGTCCTTTCTCCATGCTGAGCAGCCCTGTCTCTCCAACCTCTCCTCCTGGAGCAAGTGTCCACCATCAGGCTCTCTTCTGCTCAACGTTTCCTAGGCTACCAACATCTGTCTTGCATGATGTCATGGAGGCCCAAAATTCTGCTGCATGCAGCATCCAGATGCAATCCCACGAGTGCTGAGTGAAAAGATTTTTGACAGGGTAAACCCAGTAGCGGTAACAGGTAGACAAGATAGGAAGAAAAAACTTCTGTCATTGAAATAAAGCTCCTGCCACCATCTAGGTGACACTGGTGTGCCTAAAATAAGAGTAGAGAAACATTCCACTGCAGGTTTGATTTGCTTTATGACAGGCTGGATATGGGCTGTGTCTTTCATTTAGCTTGCATGTTTTAATGATGATCAAGGTATTAACCTTGTCTTCTAAAGTACTGCCATGTGGAGAAGGTTAGAAGGGGAAAACTGATGTTACTATTGGATATCTTACCTAGAAATCCTGTAGCCATTCCCAAGAACCAATCAGTAGAAGCTCTAGTGAGTCCCTCAAAACTGAAATAACTAAAATTTAGCCTGTACTTGGTCAGACACTTTTATTTTAGAACTTAAATCATAGAAATTGTAAAAATGTATCTATGTATTCTGACAAATATTTTTTGTTTTCCTTTTTCTTTTTTATTTTATTATGGACCTGTCTCTGGAGTGCTGCGGTTCAGAAGAACACCTGAAAATGGAAAGAATGTGCATTATAACTATGGTCTTTTGAGACAAATTCAGTGGTAATGATTCATTTCTAAAGAAACAAGTTATCACTGTGGGGAACAGTAAATACTTGAGAACACTGAGAAAGAGAGGAAGTTGAAAGCAGAAATTAGTCATTGCTTGCAACCAGTTTGCTTCAGTACACTCACTGTGATTCAGACATATCAAGTGGTTGCTTAGTTTAAGAAGGGAAAGCCCTCTGCTTTTGAATCTTGACTTAGAGATTTATCCCTTGCTGAGAGAAGTGTGAAACAGCTGTGTGACAGGACGAGACATGATTGCATTTATCTGTCCTGTTCTCCTGTATGAAGACAAAGGGCACAGTTGGTCAGACTTTCAGCGTGTGGCTGGGAGGCTGAAACAAAACCAGGAGCACTTACAAGGGCAGGCTTATTTTGTTCATGGAGCTTGGGCAGGCAGTGAGATGCTTACCTTGCCATAACAAGCCATGCTCAATGTTTGTCTTTGGACAAAAAGGTTATCAGTGCTACTGTGGGTGCACACAGTTAAAAGCGGTTTTTTTAAAACACTCTTCCAAATTGTCATTTTAAATATACCCTATAGGTAATGGCAGCTCCACCAGCAGTCAGTGATCATCACCAGCTAATCCATCTTGTCTAGGTGCCAGCCAGCCAGGAAGCAGCACCAATGACTGGAGCAGTTCTGTTCCTTCCTTGCCTGACAGTAAGGGTTTATGGGATGGGAAAACATAAGTAATGATCTTTGCTTTGCATTTTACTTAAACTACAGTGTGTGTTCTATTGCTTTGTTTAATCAGATTTTGAAATATCCTAGAGACAGGGCCACAGCCAGCTATCCAAGCCTAGAGGGTGGCTACTCCATAGCCTATTAGAAATTATTATAATATTTTTTTTTATTTTCTAGATTTTTAAGACTTTTTGGATTCTCTGAAGATTTCATTAGACCTGACTGTCCTCTTTCACTCATCACTGTGGTTGAAGACCAGTTCCTTTGTAATGTAAATATCTCAACTGTATACTTACATACCAGTTTTTGAATCAAAAAATAATGAATCATCCCAAAACGTCTTTAAAAGACTATGAATATGTACATTGCTTAAACATCAACCCTTATGTCTCGCCTTCCCATTCACAGTGTCAGAAGGCCATTTCAGTCAGTGCTTGTAGTCTGTGAATGGTAGACATTTCTCTAAAGATGGTCTTTCAAGAAATATTAAGTATTAAAAGGTTAAAAACTAAGAAAACAGTAGCAAAAGAGAGAAAAAAAGTTCTCCCATCAGGCCAATTGATTCTAAGGGCAGGGTCACTGAATGTAGCATTATTTCTCCTGGTCATGTTTCTTTCCTACCAGAGCTCCAAAGTAAGCTGACTGTGTAAGCAGGATTGAAATACACAACCCCCTTGTGACTGGAAGCAGTAAAGCATTCTCCACTTGCGGTTTTCTTCAAATGAGCCTGCATGGAATATGTGTTTGAAAACAGTGAAACTCTTTATTAATCAAGTACTTCACTTGCCATGCCAGCATAAAGTTTCATTTATGTCAAAACTCCCTTAAAAATGGTTTGGAGTGGTGTCTTGTACACAGACCTTCAACAGAAGAAATATTTTTGGAATTGTAAATACAATAATCAAGGCAAATATTTGCACCTTTTGAGAAGCTGCTGCAAGATCTTTGACTATAAGTTAGAATTCCAGCATTTTACTTTGGTTTCCTACTGTATGGAAATAAGGAGATTATACAACACTGCATCTAAAATACAGTCAGACAAGTTATCCTGATTATTAGAAGAGGGTTTTTGCTATCCATATTGTAGCCATGTTGCAATAAATGAGGTAACACTCAGGATATTCCCATAAGATCTATCTAAAAGGAAATCCAGATTTTAGTGTCTCTTCAATGTTGAGTCTCTAAGGCATTATCTGGTGGAGAATTCTATATGAAACTATGGATAACTGCATAGATAACTTTAAAAATACTTTTTTTTTCTTGAAATAGAGACCTCCTTAACGCTATTGAATTAGCAATATCCATTCACAACACCTAATTTTTCAGTACAAAGGCCCATATTATATGTATGCAGGTGAATCCCATTTTACTAGATTTTTTTTTTAGTGAATCTGTGGGAGAAGCTGAAGGAGGCATAAGGAGAGTACCATGCCTATCCAGCACAAGTACACGAGGAGAAAAGCCTGGAGAAGAAAGGATTTATCATCTTTGTAAACAAGGTTGCATTAAAGAGATTCCTGATTTCATTGTCTCCTATTTTTTTCATATCTGGAAACAAGCTGACTCACCTGGTACAACTGTCTGAGCACTAGGATTGGAAATGTTATTGGCCCTATTGACAGATAAATCCAATGGACTACCTGGCCTGGAGTCTGCTCTCAGTAGCATCACCTTCATGTTCAGTGTTTGCAATGGAAAGTGGAGCTGCCCTTCCCTGTAGGACACCAGAGATTGAAATGTAATTCAGACAATTTTAAACACATTGCTTTTAATCCAAAACACAGCAGCAGTGGGGCATGTGTGTCCCCCATAAGCCATAAAAGGCTAGTACAAAAGCCATGAGCCCTGAGTTGCTGTGGTGTCCTCAACTCCATGGAGATGAAAAGGTGCAAAAGTTCCCTCAGTTCTTTGTGCACACACAATTTCATGGTTTCTTCAGCTTTCTCTCTGTAAATATTCCATTGAAGCACCATGGCTTATATCTTCTGTAAAATACTGTTTAGCTGGCATAAGGACAGCAAAGTATAGCCTTGTGTTATATATATTTACTTGCATGAACTGTTTTCTTTTTTCCACTGGCTTAAGAAAGACCAGCCAATGCTCATTCACTCACTAGAAAAGACCCACTGATCCTTTGACAGGTACAGCAGAAGTTATTTTTCATTGTGGCATGAATAGTTTGTTTTGTTTTACAAAAAAGCACTTCACACCAAAGCAGAGCCAGGAATTATCATTCTTCCTATGCTTGTACAGGTGCACTCTGAATGAGGCACACAGCCTCCGGTGGGCTCCTAATGGAGTGATGACACTAACGCTGCAACAATAGAAGGGGCCTCCAGGGATGCTGGCTCTGGGAGGGCAGCCCAGGTAGGAATGTGCTTTTTAAGAGGGCCACAACTTAAAGCATTCCGTGGAGCTGACAACTCTTTATGCTGCCTCTGTAGACTTCTCGCTGCACAAATAAACACAAGTACAGTAAGCCAGGTCAGACTGAGGGACTTAAATCTCAGTAACTTGTGTGGAAAGAGCTTGCAAGAAGTCAGTTTTCAACATAGTTCACCACAAGGTGTGTGCTGAGATATCCAGTCCACAACGCAGATCTTCAGCTTGTCCTGTATTACTGATTCTTTTGTTTTCATCTATACATCTTTATAGCTATTTATTTATTGAAAAAGGGATCTGGACTCTACACCCAAACTGCGTGTGTTTATGTGTGCATGTGTTTGAGCAGGGTCAAGTACAGCCATGTGAAAGAAGGAGTCATGGCAAAACTGTTTATTGCCATGTGTGAATGAAAGAGCTGAAGTATAAATAGTTGTGTGAGTGGCAGGGGCAATGAAGCCTGGTTTCCTGCAGAGCTCATGCTGAAGGCTGAGATCCCGTGCGGATTCACCGGTGTCTAGCAAACGGTGAGGATAACATTGCGCTGTGTGAGTGCCATCAATATGCTCTCTCTTCTATTCAGAAGCTTATTTTAACAAAATTTTCAGGAACTGGAAAGCTTGGAGAAGAGAACCCCTCTGATGTATTTATGTGGCTGCTGCATTCAAATGTGTCTAGAAGGAGACCAGCAGCAGCAGTAATACCACATTTACCTCATATGTTTAGGAAGCTACAATAATTTAATATCACAAAATATGATAGTAATAATGAAAATGAAAGTCCCTGTTAGACTATCTGTTAGACTATCACTCTTCAATGCTGACCCAGATATTTGGGGCTCATTTCTTGTTCACTGTTTCTGTTTGTATTGCTGCAGAGGCAGGGGCCATGGCTGCTGCTCAAGCGGATTGTTGCACTGGAATGCCTCGGAAGGGTTGGTTATTATTCATGTCTTCAGCCCATTCAGCAGCCTGTTTAACGAGGTACATCTAATTCAGTGTAAATGCGTAACTCATTGACTTCTCTAGAGCCACAAACATGCTTGAATTGCAGACTAATTTCACTAACTTGCAGAACTTCAGAGTTAAATAAAAAGTATGTTCTAGAAGTACGTGGATTGTGTCCATTCAAGATACAGGAACATATGGAAAAATTTCAGCTTTTTCAGTGAACATAAGGATTCATACTTCTAGGATCAATCTTTCATGTGGAGATTTTTACCTCTGCAGAATCCCCTGTAGCTATGAAGGCATTGAAGAAAAGCTGTCTGACACATGTTTCTGCTATGGATCTTAGGCAGCTGGATGGAAGTTGCCATTTACTGGTATGACCATGTTCAGGTTTAGTGTTTCGCAGGCCTGGTTCTTTGGAGGACATTTTGCCTAGTGTCAGCTATCAGAAAGACCTAGTTTCAAAATAGTGCAAAAGATATCAGCATTTTCTTCTGCAGTTTCTACATTGCATTTCCACCAATAATTGAGGCTAGGGCACATATATCATACCTTATGACAATTTGGTCTCCTCTGCTTTTAATTGCAGTCCTAACTCATTTAGTAGTAAGTACTGAGGGTTGTGTTGTGTCTTGTGGCACTGAGGTAACTTCCTGAAGAGACAGTAAGTGGGATGTGATGGGACACACAGTGGATTTCTTTCCACTTCTTGCTGGAAAGATGTGTCAGTAGGAGCTTTTTGTACCATATGCATCTGTCCAGTTCCTGCATTTTTCTCTCTCTTCTTAGTCCCTAATGTCCTTAGTTACTGCAGAGAAGATAATTTTATTGATGTGGGTGAACGCCATTAGAGTGATGTGTTCAAAACATGATTTGAGAGGAAGTTGCTCGCAGTAGTTTGTGGAAGAATTACTTAAAAGGTTAAAAAAAAGGTTTACAACTAATCAGCACAGCTCAGCAGATCACTGAAGTGCTATTTTGTTTATCTGAGCTGATAGATGTCTGCAGCCAGCTTACACTTTCACAATGTTTAAGTGTTATGACTTGAAACATGCAGCAGATCTTATTGCTGACAGGGTACGGCTGCTTGTGAGATAATATGAGGGCAGTGTCACAAGAGACACTGCTTCAGAGCTATCCAGCATTTTGGCCAGTTGTGGCACCATGTTATGGAGCATTCATGAGCTCCTTTCCTGGAATAGACTGCATTCCCTGAGATCAAATGAAATTGCAGGGTCTTCAGTCAGTGTCTGCTCTACAGAGCATTACCCATTGCTGCTTGTGCTGCCCAGCCACCTTAGTGCAAACTGTCCTGGGAACACAAAGCAGTGAGTGCTTACCACAATTACTGCCACTCAGCACATCGTAAAAGTTAGAGTTCTTCTGCTAGGATGTCAATGGAATTTAAATGTCATCTCATAAGAGCCCAGAAGTACCTTTTGAAAGAAAGCAACATGACAACTTTGCTTTTCTGCATCATCCCAAACTTGGTTCTGCCTCAATTTAACAAGGATTATCTTTTTATGTGACTTCTCCCTTGACAGCCCAGATGAGGTATCCCATGAAGTTATATCAGCATTCTTGTGTTCCTTGTATGTTCACATATCAACTTAAAGTCAGTTATGTGGATCACTGGATTTCTTTGTTTTAACTGCATTTTGTAAATAGTCAGGAATTTCAGTGATGTTCTTTATACTGATGAAGAAGTGCAGTGTTCAATCAAGCAAGCCAAATTCTCCATGAGCATCATGAAGTCCTACATGCCTGTCCTCACTGTGGCAGACCAGTAAATTGCTGGGCCACACTCAGTGAGGGTGCTCAGGCAGTGTCAATTATGTTAGCAGCTGTGTCACTCCCTGGAGCTTCAAGGACTGATTTCATTTTGAGGGTTCACAGTTACAATGGGTGTCCAGAAATGTTTTGTGGGGAACCACTCTTTGCTCCAAAAACCATATTTGGCACTCTGCCTGTGCTCTTTTATAGGGACAGATGGACAATGTTAGGGCTATGCTTGTATTCCCAATGGCCATAAATCCCTGAGAAGAATATTTTGATAAAATGGAAAAACTGCAGATTTTCTGGAATATTCATATTAATTATATATTTAATATACATATATATATACACACAAAGAGATTAATATGACATTCATTGACAGTTAACACTAATAAGCAAAAAATGGAGCACATGTAAAGTAGACCTCTTCATTCTCAGAAATTTTTTGCAAATATATGTTAACTTTAGATATGTTTTAGAAGACTATGTTGGAGCAAAGTTCCTCCTGCACAAGGCCAAGTCTATTTTTAGGAGAAGAGCTGAAGAATTTCCTGCAGCTGAAAAGGTCCTAAATTTTTTACGAGACGAGTTTGAGGACCTATGTGTGAGTTATTCAAAGGTGTCTGGGTGATTTTGGATCATATATTCACTGAAAGTCACTGGGAATTTTGTTCCTAAAATGCTTTTGCACTTTTAAAAAAATTGCCATAAATCTAATTCTATATTTAAAATTAAGCTGTAGTGTATACTTTATAAAACTGAGATTATGGTGTGACACTTGTTTTTTCTTGATCCTACTTACTGAATATGTTCAAAGATGTCTCTTTAAATTGCTGGTTCTAGAAGCTCATGTCGAAATCTGAAAATCAGCAAGTTTTCTTTGGCTCAGTCACCACTAAAAAAGTGCACATGTCATAAGGTAATGGTTTTGATGATGGTAAAGTGTAGTCAGTTCAAGATAGCATCCATATGGAATGATTTCCATATCTCTCATCTATAATGGAAAGATACGACAGAGTTTAGCAGAATTGCAGAAGTACAATTTATAAATCCAAAATCTCGAATCAGGGAAAAGTGTCCTTTTCACACAGAAGTGTAATCAGCCACATGACATTATGATGGTCAAGAGCATAAGAGAAAAAGAGGTTAGAGCATTATGGAAGAGGGGGTTACGTGTCACTGGTGTATGCACTGGACCATCTAGAAATTGCTGCACAGTAAAATCCAGAGCTACAGTTTGTTAGAAGCCAGGAAAAGAAATGGTGGAGAGGACTAATTTACAAAATAAGTTCTTAATATTCTCACTCTATGAATTATCAAATGCAGAGGTTAGAGGCAGTATGGCAGTCCTCAAGTGATTATTTATTGTTCCATAGATATTAAAG